GGTGCGACAGGGCATGGTCTGCACTGCGGCACTGCACTTACACAGCACCTGAGCCTTCCCTCCTCTTCTGCCTCTGCTCAAGTCCTAAGCTCCCATAAACACCCAAATTCCAGCATCTGTCCTCACAGGAAAAAGGTGCTGGGAACTGACCACACATAAGATGCTGCAGCAGGGTAAGAAGATCTATTAACCTAATTCTGGGAGGGGTTTAAAATCCCACAGGAGAATCTTATGCTGCAGGAAACTCCTGGTTGGTGTTCAACCCAAAAGGTAACAATAAGCACTACAGATTTCAGTGTTGCTCTGCATGGAAATACTGTAGAATCGAAAGTCTTCACCAATTTGTTTCTTGCCTGCACTCTGCCTGTTCAACGGCCCACACAGCCATACGGCTCTGCTATGCAGGAACTCAAAGAATCAAAACCAAAGTGTTTCAAGGGGATCCCACAAAGTGAAAGCAAGAGGCTTTTTCTCAGAAGAACAAAATCTAGAGCTAAAACTGGTAAAAGGCCCTTTCACTCTTTGCTCATGTAAGCGCCTACCATACAGGTTGTTTCATGTTTGCAGGTCCTGGGTATGCACAGCTAGAACAAGGCTTTACAAGGTTATGACCAAGAGAAGCAATTTGCATCACTGGGGCTCTACATAACAGCTTTAGGCTTCTTGGTAAACTCACCTCATTCTCTGCTTCTCAAAGGAAAAAACATGAATGCATCATTTGCAATGCTAACCACACAAAAAATGAAATCTTCTGCTTCAGCATAAAGTAGCATACATACAGAAAATAATTTTTACTAGGACAAGAAAGAGAACAAGATTATTCCTGTATTCTCTAGTAGGTTTGGTGACCTAAATCCCCAGACAGTCATCTGGGATCTGGGAGCAAGCTTTCTGTTAAGAGCCAGATGCAGCTTGTACACCCCTCTGAGCAGCAGAGATGTTCCCCAAGCATGCACAGTAATGGAAGGACATGGATAACTCCAGGATCAAAACAAACCTCTAACCTTAATTTGCTGATGTAGAATAGCGATGAAAGGATCAGCTTTTCATAAGAATAGAAAACTGAATTAAAACTTTAAACTAAGGTAAATCTTATAATTTTAAAAGACAAAACAAAATGAAACACTCAATTCACAAGATGTTAAATTCACAGTAGTTATTAACCTAACTTAAATTAACTGGCTTATTATTATAGAAAGTCATCAAATGTACTTAGCATTCTTTAGAGCCTCACAGTCAATTAATATAACATGAAATTGAATCCACTCAAGCATCCAGAGACGCAGAACCTAGATATAAATGAAAACTTCAGCCCCATCTACCTCAGGGTCTGAAAATTTGGGATCACCTACCACATTTTCTCCATTGCAACAGCCACAAACCCTCATTTATATCCTGTATCAAATTTACCCAGAAACAAATGAAAAAGTGTTGGAAAACCATCTCCATCATTAAATTTTACAGCTGAAGCTAAGCCCAATGGAGTTTTCACCCTTTGAAGCTAGCTCTGTCTGACTAAGGGCCAGATTTTCTGAAGTGATTAGTACCACTGGGGCCGAATTTTCAGAACAGCTCAAGTTATAGTTAGACCCTTAAAAGAAACAGAGATTTTCAAAGAAGTGTTCGACGCTTGGTTTCCCTGCGAGAAATACCATGGTACACTGCAGGAGACCCGATTCCCGAAGGAGCTCTTGACTGCCGAGTATTCTGAAAATCAGGACATTTACTTACGTGCTTCAACGGGAAATACTGGTGGTTACGGTCTTTTAAAAATCTTGCCCTAAACACAGTTGCTAAGCTGCATTTATTGCTGGCCAAAACCAGTTATTCTTTATCAAGACAAAAAAAAGAAGGGAAATGTTTTATTTTTCTAACATCCCAGAGCATCCTTTGCAGAAAATGTGCAAGTTTTTTAGTGTTTGTCAAAGAGGAAGAAAGTGCTTGTTCAATGCTACATGTGAAAGCAGCTTACTGGAAAAGATGAAAACTTATTATTGCCAATTTTGAAAAAAAAAAAATAAAAATCTTTGGCTACTAATGAATAACTAATCTAAGCTAACAATGTCTGGAAATAGTTTTTTTGGAACACACAAAACTTTGTGACGGATAAAAATTAGGAAATTAAAGCTTATTGTATTATTCCAAATGTAACTGTTTACACTTGAGGAAAAATAATGGAATAATATCCACTTGGAAAGTTTTTATTTTTAAAAAATCCTTTGTAATACTCCCAGAAATTCACTCGGCCAAAAGCAAGTAACTTGCTTCTTAACCAGCTAGAAAAAAAGAGCATGATACTACAAGTATGGGCTCAGTGCATAATAAACACACAAACGGCTTTACGAAATTCCTTGTGAAAACCTTGCTAGCTGGTAAACATTTAAAACGCACCAAAAACCACTCCACAGCTTACTAGATGTCTTCAAAATGTGTTTTCTCATGAAACAACAAGGCATAAACAAAAAACCTCCTTCCATTTAATACAGTAAGGTACTATACTCACAAGAGGTGCCCAATTGCTCACGTTTAGATTTACCTGGGGAAAACCACATCCCCTGAAGCCTTCCACTGTCACCCCGGCCCTGCAGCCCCACAGCTTCCCTCCTGCTGTGGGCAGGAACTGTGCCTCCCATTACAGCTTCAAGCCCAGAGAAGTCTAATGAAGTTCACCCCACCGACAGGCTTTTGATGTGGGTTTTCCACCACCAGGTGCCCTGATGCTCAGGTACCTCACCTTAGTCAAATGACCCAATATAAAGAGCCTCATGCTTTGGATCAGAGAGAAGTGATGGGTCTAACAGAGGTGGAATTAATGCTGCAGAGAGAGTTTAAAGGGTCTGCTCTTCTGCAGAACCCCAAACTCATTATTTTTCAAACTAAGGTGATGCCACACATCCATCTATGTGCAAATACAGGACTTTAGCTATGTATTTGTGAGCTCACATACATGCTTCCCTCGTATTTAGGAAATTTGTTATTTAGGATTGGATTTTGAAAGTAAATTAGCCAAGGAAACATTCTTGATGTAAGAAACACAAACAAATAATTCTAATATTTCCAAGTATAAAATTCTCTATCTGCATAGAACTCTGGTATTTTTACACACATTAAGTATGAAAGTGGAGAGCCTAACTCATTTGACAATACAATCCCTATATCCATTTTTATCTGTAACAGGTTGCTCTTTCAAAACTGTGGATAGATCGGTCTGCTTTCAGAAAAATGACCCTTAAATTATTTAACATACTGGTTAATTAACAGTTATAAATTTAGCCATACGTAAATAAAAATTAGTTTCAAAAGCTGATTCTATAGCTCGTATGCCACACTACTAAAACCTGCTGAGAGATGGGAGGTATATAGAGTCTGCTGCTCTATATCCCCCCAGATCAGTTTTAGAAGTCTCCCCTGAAATTAACGTACTTGCTCTAACCTTCAAACCATATAGTTTCTAAGTAAAACCCAAGCATGGTACTTTTCACTCTCACAATCCTTCTCACTTATTCCTAAAATTTAGTTACCTCTTTACCCTATCAAGTCTTGAACATGTGCTCCCGTTTACATAAATCCATCAAATTCAGAAGGATTATTCAAAACACAAGTGAAACCAATCAGGCAACATGGGGGTCCTGGATTTTTAAGTCCATGAACTCTCCAAGAAACCACATCCCATGTGCTTTGCTGAATGCCTCTATTTGTACACAGAGAGAACGCACTTGGGAGAGATAGAGGGGCAAACATTCACCCCTTCTGTATTAGCCAGTGAAGAAACCTTAAAATCACAATTGGTTGCTTTTGATTTTTGTTTCATTTTTATTACATATATTAGCTGATGCCAATACACTGCCATTGCAATACTGTGTCTCAACAATAATTATACTGAGTACCCTCAAACACTATGTACTGTTTCTTCCCTGCCTGCAAAAGTGAACCCAGCAATAGCAGCTGTAATGTAGTCTGTTGACCCAACATGAACAGGCTCCAAAATATGCTTAAACCTTACCTAAAAAGTTTTTAGTTTCTTTCTCAGGATCTTGTAAAAGAACGTCTTACATAAGACAGAAGGCAAATGGTCCATTTTTGTACTGTATTACCGAAAACGCTTGAACAGTTAGCCTTAAATAACCAAAACGTAACACACAGAAAATCCTTCTGAAATCTTTCTGAAGCTGCTGTTAACTTCCTTTCTTTATTCAAACCTTAAGTTCAATTCCCCTTAGTTTTTTTTGTTTGGTTTGGTTTGGTTTTGGTTTCTCAGTATCATTGCAAACATCTTACCATTCATTGGTTACAGAATTTTACCCGTTCTGCTTTCAGACTACAGCCATGAAGCATCATGTTAATTCAAGGAAAAAGGTAATCATTCTGTATTTTCTGCAGAAACTCAGAATACAAAAGGTTATGCTTTCACATTTGCAAAGACTGGAAGACTTGATGGATTTTTTCCTTTCTATTCTCATTCCAGGACAACATATCTACGTTGGTGCCCATGTTGACACTGGAGATCAAAGTTCAAGAGCCAGGAATATGAGCCAGCTCATTTCCATATGACACAGCCATTGGGATTTCCTAGTCCAGGTGCAGCAGTGGGCTCCCACAGCTGTCTCACATCGGGAATGGAGCAAGAGTCTTCCCACTACAGGTCTCGGGTAGACTGAGATGCTCTCTGCCACAGCACAGGGTATGCTTGAGTGATGTAAGTTACAGCAGTGACTCATGGAGCAAGAACACAATGTATGTAGAAATTGAATAGATTAAGAATGCCCGAAGGGAGGCATCGGTTGACTTCTCCTCATGAGCAATTTCCATTTTAATGAACTAATAGATACCCTTAAAGTAAACTGTGTAAAATATCACATCCAGAAAAAGACACACTTAAACGCACATCTGTTCCACCTCTGAGAAGATGCAACTGGCAAATCATGCATAAACTAAGAGAAATGCTGATCGAATTGAGAGGGGTTAATCTGCAAGGCAGTTGAGAATGGACTAACACTAACCTCTGGGTAGCCTCCAACGTCATGCACATCGATTCCAAGTAGATGTCCAAGTCCGTGTGGCATAAATATTGCACCCAGATGAACCTTCACCATGTCATCTACATTGCCTTTCAGAATGCCAATTTTAGTCAACTCCTCCAGATGGACTCTGTCAGCCAGACGGTGCATATCAGGCCAGGCGACCCCTTGGAGAGCAGAAACAAGCAGCTGAGTTAACTATTGCTAAAGGTTTTTAAAGACCGCTTTCAAAAAGGAGATGTAACACATGTGCCCTTTTTTATATAAAAAACAAAGGTGGAAAGAACAACTACATTAGCACAAAAATACTTCAAACAAGACAAACTTAACACGTATGCAAAGCACAGAAAACTACAAACAAGAGAAACAGTAGCACCTTATAATCCAGATTCACATGAAAAAAACGTTAAGACACTGTATCTAAGCACATCTATGCAGATGCACATGTATCAGTGAGTTTTCTAAAAGAATGTCAACTGTAAAATGCAGTTATTTAAAATGCAGAGCATAAAATATTACTATCCTATTACTTCAATAATGATCGTACCCATTTAGAACATTTGAGATGGATAGTACTTTTCTACGTAAGCAGAAGATTTAAAGCCCACATCTTTCTGGCAAAGACACTCTTCAGAAATTGATGATTCCCTTGTGTTAATGGGCTGTGTAAAACACAAGTCCTCTAATACACGTACTAAAACAGCATTACAAAATACTGTTGGTTGACTAGAGACAGAGTGCCAGGATACATTAGATTTCTATTATTTTGGTATAGGATACAATTTTGCTTGACAAGCTGCCGGGGGGAGGAGGGAGGAAGAAAGCAGCTCTTTTGTTAGTAACACAGAACTGTCTTAATTAGTTCACCATGGCTTTGAGTCATCATCAACAGAGCGGTTGCAGAGTCAAGACAACTAGGGCTAAGGTACAGTAGAAGAATATTTTCCTTGTTCAATTTTGGCATGATTAAACAAATAAAACCCAAGCAATTTTTAAGGCCAAAACCCCATCGAGTTCTATTTGCTTTAATCCAGTTAAACACGCAGCTCTAGGGTCTTGTGAACATGAATGTCACATCATAATTACATTAGCACTTTTTGCTGAAAGTACTGAGGCTTCAAAGGCTGAAATAAAATCATCCTATGGGAGCGCTTTAATAAAATTCAGTTGTCTTCTATGGCTCTGATATAAAGGTCAGAAACAAACTGAAGGGCAAGTGGCTGCTCCATCTTGCACACTGTCCACACAGAAACCAATGCACCTCTACACTCGCATTAACACCGACTGGGAATAAGCTCAGCATGCAAGTTAGTTAACAGTCAGCCTCCTTTGCCCCATCAGATTACTCACAGATCAAACTTTTTAGCCTGTTGCATGCATGCAGCTGAAGCAGCACCTTCCTTGCCCAAGCAAGATGACAAGACAGGGGCGTGCAGCACAATATGCTAGACAAACTCTCAGTTGCTGTTTCCTCACAAAAGCCAACAGTGCCCAAGTGAGTGATGCTCACCCACAAAATGCATGCAGTCTTCCTGCTCAAAATGTGCTACTCTTGTGTTTTCCTTCCTTTAAAAAGGAATTTAGATTTTTCCTTCAGTAAGAATTAATACAACTATAACCAGCTGTTCTTTGACAACTGCGTTCAACACATTTTACAAGAATTTATTTTTTTTATCTTTTTTTAACGTTGATTGTACTGCAATTTTCACTTCTCTAGATTCGTCTGTCTTTCATAGCTATCTCACGACAGGCTCCAATCTGTTGCACGATAAACTGAAATCATTACAACCTATTGCATTGATATTACAGATCTCAAACTCGAAGTATTACTGAATCACAGTTGCTTTCCTGTTTATTTTGTAGCTGTTGGAATACAGAATTTCTGTGTAACTCCCAGTTCAGCTTCCACACTTTGCAGTCAACTAACTGCTGCAAAAGTCTTTTAATATTCTTTCTGGGGACAGTAGATGTTCTTTTGAGATCTCTCCCATGTTTTCTTAGCCGAGTATTACTACAAGTCTTCTATTTTCATCTCCATGACTGCAAAACCACATGTAACATCTGACCCCAGTCAACTACCTGAAGCCTCATCCTCTCTTGATATAAATGAAGGTCAGAACTCTGTTGCTGTAAGACAAAACACATCCATATCCCGGATGCTCTGAATCAACTTAAGATGAGGTGCCTGTGAGAACTGAAGATGAGGTGCCTGTTTGCCGTACGGCTTCCCTCTACAGCTGTGCTGATACTATTAGTCTCAATTCAAAGCCACAGACTCCACTTAAAGAGATACAGCAACCTTTATCAAACTAAGGAAAAGATATAACTAACAAGAGATACAAAGATTAAACAGATCAGAAATAAAAACACCAAAACCACATATCCATTTGTCTGCAGAAGTTTAACACAGCAAATGAATGACTCTACTGCCCTAACTGAAAAGATTGCTGTGGTTGTAAATCCTGGGTATTTCTGGGCATGGAGCAAATCCATTATGGCCCCTTTTTCCCTCACCTCTACTTTCCTTTTTGTCTCATTGAGAAAAAGCATGATTATTTCCCCTCTCCTCCTCCTGCTCAGAGCTCTGCTTGCTCCACCTGTTTTGGTTTTTATTCATCTTATCTATTTCATTAGAGACTGAGGACAACAAAAAGCCCCACTACAAAATAAATAATGAGGCTGGATGGAAAATGTGCAGCTTTGGGCTCTCTCTTGGAACAAGGGCAGCGCTTCGGACAGAGCCCGGCCAAATGACTCCGGACCACTCTTTTATCACCTAGCTGGTGCCATCACTTTGATAGAGACGGGAAGTACTTCAGCTCCAGCTCTCTCACACATGCTGCAGAAGCCGCAGAAAGCACTGGGACAGCTCTGGCTGGAGGGAAATTAAGTTACTGCTGGAGGTGCCCTGCTAAATAGTACAAATCTTGTTTTACAAGTAAATAGGTGTTCAACTAGTCTTAATTAAAAAAAAAGGGTTTATAAATAGACTGTATTTTCTATTCTATGGTCTGGCTTCAGATTTTATTCTACTCTGACTATAGCATGCTGGTATTTTGCACTCTGAGGCCACTTCCCTCCAAACCACTTAACCTGCAAGTATTGTATAATACAGTCATGCATCCACAGACTATTAGTAGTGTGCTAAGACAAAATACAAGGATATTTTTGAGCTGACTAGAGACAGTGAACTAAGTGGAGTAACCTTATTGGTCTTCACTTAAAAAAATGGTGATATCCTTGTCTTGTTTGATAGGAGCTGCTTCCCATCATGCTAGGAATAAACTTTAACAGTAAGGCACAAACAGGTTTTTCCTCCTTTTTTTAAGCAGGTAATTTGTCACAGAAAGAGGATCTAAATTCAAATCTTCAAATGTTTCCTAGTACCATCATAATCTTAAAAACATTAACTTTGTTAAGAGAAAGAACTACTTTATAGTAATAAGGCAATTACTTAGAAGTACAGAACACAATCTACTGAAGAAAGGAAGCCATCCTAATTCAAGAAAGATCTCTTAGTCCATTTTATACATAAAATATATTCATATGTTGTATACATTTAATATACAGTAAACAGAAATACATAACTCTTCAAATTAATTTTAAACCTAAAATTGTATTGGTTTACCCAGCAATTGGAATCTTCATAATACCATGGCCTGTGCAAACCCAGCTGTCTCTGGGGCTGGCTGGCATGCCTGCACTCAATTGTCATTTAAGTTAACTAGTAAGTACACTTGAAGAGCAAAAGTCCTCAAACTCTGCTAATCTAATTTTCCTATGCACATACTGAACTTCCAATAATTGCAAAAAGCAGAGAAGGGAAGAAAAACTAAATATCACTGACTAGGAAAACCACAAAGAGAATTTTTTGGTACCCTCACATGGATGTGCAATTCAACAATCTGGATGTGCCAGAAGGACTTCCAGTGAGGATAGTGAATCCCTGTGTTAAAGCACAGATATCTATATTCTGTTCAGTTGTCTGTGCACACATCTATGCGTGGATAGCTTTAGCACGTAAAAACAAAGAAAACAATACTAAAGAAGCCTCTGTGCACGTAGTCAGGGAACAATCTGCCCAACAGGACAGCATTTGCAGGTGCGAAGAAAAAAAAAAACCTAACTAAACAATGCTGAATGAACAACATTTTGTACAAAGAATCCTTAATCCATGGAAGTTACTTGATGTTCAGGCACTTCTGTTTTTTGGATTAACAGTGGTCCAGTGGAGAGCTCTGTCACCCGCTGTAAGCTGACGTAACAGAAGTCAAACACCGTATAAGCATTCTTGTAGCAAGAAAAAGCAGTCAAAAACCAACTAAAACCCACAATAAAACAACTTCCCCACAAGTGGCTCTAACATCAGTTATGTGAGTTACTGCAACGGCTGACTGTTTTGCAACACCAGCCTGCACTAACCTTCCTCCACCAATCACCCACTAGGATGCTTTACTCATATATTATTCAGGACTATTATTTTTAAGCTTTGGTGAAGTTTATCATAGTTGCAGACAGGCTTTTTGTGTAAAAAGGTTTATCATAGTTCCAGACATGCTTTTTGTGTAAAAAGGTTAGTTCCGTTATTATCTTTAAGCCAATTTATAAACCAATTAAAGTCCACTCACAGATGAGGTTTAGAAAACTAGATTGGAGGGTCCTTGGACTTTGACAGCTTGTACCAAAATGAGTCTGCACTCAGGAAAATCTGCTGATGATGTGTCTGCTCCATTCTTAATTCTCTGCCAAATGAGATACTGGGTAATACAGGTCACTGAACCAGTGACTGGCTCCCCAGGAAAGCTCAGTTACCAAGGCTCATCAGGTTGCGATTCGTTACCTGCCACGCAGCATGTGCTTGGGCAAGAGGCCAGGACACGAAGCACCTGCCACAGCAACCAAAGCGTTTGAGATCCCTTGAGATACAGAGTGAATGAACTACACAGCAACGACGAAGACCATGGATGCGTCCAACAATGAAATGTGACAGATCATGGATTAATTAAACAACATGTAACTACGGAGACTATTAGTTTTCAGACACCACGCAAACAGGTATAGCAGAGGTTTGCAGATGTGTGAGGTACTGTGTTTAAAAACGGCAAACTTAAATGTATTAAGTTTACTAAAAAGTTTTTTTAAAATTTATTCTCATCAACCTAA